GTCAACACCTACATGGAACGCACATCCACGCCACAACACTGTGTCACAGCGCCCCCCTCCCTAACAAAAATACATGTCCCAGTACTTACCTCTCATTCCATTTGTGCAGCACACATGTCCCAGTTATTTTTATCCCGTGCCCCGCCTGCTGCCACCACTCATCCTTGCATCTGTAGACCTCGTCAAATTCTATCAGCTCAACTCCTTGCCCCCACAACAACTCCAGACCTTGGATCGCAAGAGGCGGCAACGCCGCAGGCTTCGGCCGAGTCAACAACGATGGGGGTGGGGTGTGGAGCGCAATGCCTTCCGGTGGATCTATTTGCCGAATATCCCCAAAGAGCGTCAAGTTCAATCCGCCCCACGGGCGCATGGTACCGTCCATTGCATTTCGGTAGAAGCCGTTCTGTGGCACTTTTGATCGAATGTGGTTCTCTGCTTCTGCAAAGAAGCCCGCAGAAAGCATGAACACTTCATCTATAAGCAAATGCCGCGCAAATGCCAGCCTCTTGCTCGACTCTTTCTGCTGCACCTCATGGCTTGTTTCTGGGGCTGACCCTTGGGACTGAAATGGATTAATGCCGGCAACGTGGTGTAAAGTTTCACCTCCCAGCATTGCAGCTACTGACGCCTGCAGCGACGCAATCAAGAGCTCCTGCCCAACTTCATACTTCATTACCTCCACATAGAACTTTTTCAAGGCGAAAATTACTGCCGACTTGCCTGTCCCTGGGCCACCATGAACGAGCAGCATCAAGGGCTGCCCCTTGCTTTTCTCCAAGCACCTCTCCTCCTGCGCCTCCTCCACGGCACGGTCCACATGCTTTTGCAGCACAAGCCGCTGCTGCGCGTTCAAGTGCGCAGTGTTCTGCTCCAACCAGGCCCACGCTTCCTCCACCAACACTGCCTCCTTGCACCTTGCTGCTCCTTCCACTTCGCCACGCCGTTGCCCTGCATCCCGCTTTCTCTTCTTTTTTCCATGCTGCTTCACACTGTTCAGCCAAGCATTGCAATCTTTCCAACGATGCTGCTTTATGCTGTCATGCCCCACGAAAACTTTCTCGCACTCTGGCCATAGCATGTGAACGCACTCAAACGCATGTGTTGAATTCTCAAAATGGGTCAATCCTGCTCTCTGGCGCCGATCTCCCCCTATCTTTGTTGGCATGACCATCTCCAGGACAGCCTCGCTCCTTGGCCGTGTGTCTTTGCACTTTCAAACAACCACGACCATTGCTTGGCACATGAGCGGAAACCCTCCTAGCAAGCCCTCCAAGACATCACTCACCACCAACTCACGCCCACAGCCAGAATCTGAGGACCCGACGGGTGCAGTTCAACGTCCTCTTCCCCCTCCTCACTTTCCTCTTCCCCTGCTGCCGTCGGGTATCGCACCATGAAGGTCAGCATGAAATTCTGCATAATCTGACGAATTTCCTCACTCAAACATCCTCTTGCCAGGTACCTTTTCAAGCCTTCTTGCCACGACTTCTTCCCAGTACCGTCTATTGCCTGCAAATTCCTGGCATGCACCACAAACGGTGGGCGCGCCATACTTTCATCCAAAACCCAAGGCGTAAAATACCCCAAAAGCAGCTGAGCTCGCCGCTCCTCGGTTAAGGTACCTGGGCGCCCCACTGGGCTGCCCCTGAACTCGGGCACCACGGCATGCAGTCGCTCTACCATGCGCCACATCCTCAGCTACTTCACAAGCAACGGCAAGGTCATCCTATACCCCCCATCCTCAGCGCACAAACCCCGATCAAACCTATTTCCACATGCACGGCTCAAGGCATACGCCCCAAGACTGCCACATGCTGAGTGCGCCTTCAATCCTGTACCTCCCGCCTGTTACATAGCTATACCATACCCCTGCTTGCAGTCAAAGCTCCTGCTCACGTCCGGAAACTCTGCGCTTTCGGGGAATTGCAAGACCCCCCTCCACTGCGCCGGCTCTTTCTCCACCACCGCAGTGGTCTTCACCTCCCAGTACCGGGCAAATTCATACAGTAGGGGCTTAGGTAGGACACACGGCTATCTACTCCTCGCAGCCCATAGAGAATAGCCAGATCACGCAACACCACCTCTCCTTGCACCACCTGCATGTAACCCTTCATCCCTCTCACTGACTGCCCTGCTGTAATTCTCTCTATTACTTCCAGCAACGCTGCTCCAGGCAAAGCCACCGTCCTAAAGGTTTGCAAACATTCCGCAGCGCACGGGTCCTGCTGCGTTGCCAGCGCATGCATGTTCAAATTCTCTGTTTCCACCGCCCCTCGGACAATGCCGCGGACAAAGCAATCTGCCACAATCCGCTGCGCATGTCTCCGGCTCACCTGCCCAGCTGACTTTTCACCAACAATCTTGGCAGACATGGCAGCATGCCCACGTGCAAACTCGCGGCACTCATAAAGACCACTCGCCTGCCTCTTGGTGCAATAATCTGTGGCATAACCTATCTGGGCCGCTTGCGCTCCTTGCGCAATCCGCTGCCACTCTGCTACCTCTACCTTGTCCACACAATTCTCCGCGCATCCCTTCCAATGGCTCTGTAGGCACAGGGGCACCCTGAAACCCACCTGCACATCCGAATTATGTCGGCCAGCCGCTAACAAAGCTGGATGGCTCCCATTCAACCAAGGGCAACTTCGCGGTCCAAAAAGACTCCCTAATGCATTCCTTCTCCCTGACGTCGCTAACTTGAATTTCTCGGCCGCCCCAGGGCACACTACCTTCTTCCTCTGTCAACTGCGACTCCAACGGGTATCCAGAACGGCACTGGCTCTTGTTTTCACTTTTCCTGCACCCTGCGAGTGGCTGCCTCTCTCCCTGCCTGTCCTTCGGATGAATATGATGCTGTCGAGTCATTTGCACCTGCTGCACATCCATTTTGTATTTCTGCACCCAACCGTCTCCCTCCGCTAAAATCTCTTCCTCTGTCAGACCCCACTCATCCACTGAATCACCAAAAAACTTTGGCAGCAGCAAAAGATCTTCCCTCTCGCTGTAGTCAGGCCACGTCTCTTCCACCCGTGCCCTCTCTTCCTCACTCCACATCGCTGGCACCGCATGCTGCTGCATGCAAACATGCTGCTTGAAGCGTACAAAAGCCTCCACTATCTCCTTGCCCTCTCTTTCAATCCTCTTGCTCATCTCCTGCAGTGTAGCCACTTGCTGCAAACCTTCTATCACAACAAAACCATGCACATGCAAAGCGCTTGACTTCTGACTCTCAATGCTGAAGAACGCCGCAGCACATCGACCAAAAGCACCGCCACCCAGCTCTGCTGCGTTGCCTGCCAAGTCACTGCAAAAGGCTTCTGCGTCCCTCTGCGCTTGGCAAGCCAGGCAAAACAAGCAGGTACGCAGACCAAACAGGCCTCTCAATAGCAGGAGGATGTGCACCCGAAACCCAAGCACAGCCGCTGCCGGTTTCAATGCCAACACCTGTCGCCTCTCCTCGAATGCTGGCCATGGGCTTTCATCCCTACTTCCTGGCTGCAACCGACCTGCCACTTTCTGCAAGGCGGGATTTTTCCTCACAGCTGGGTCTTTCCTGCACCATCTAGCCAAACGCAGCATCAAATAGTTGTGTTTCTCTGCTGGACTCAAAGTCACAAACACAGGCACACCATATGCCACTTGCAAGGCCTTAGCTCGATACCTCATGAATGTTCTCACCCCTGTTGTCCCCGGCAACTTGCCCATGATATGCCTGGCCTCCTGCAGCAGTCGCAAGGCCCCTTTCGAGATTCCTGGTATGTATGCCACTTTGTTGAGGTCTCCCCCCACAGGCCTCAGCTGACCATCGCTCCCCACGTACTTCCCTGACAATCCTTCACTGATCTCACAAGCGGCATTCTTGAGCTCTTCTCCTCGCAAGTTCCCTTCGTCACCTTCTTCTCCCCCACCTAGCCTCCGTAAGGACAAGCCTTTCGCCCGGTGCAACTGCTGCCTGAACAAATAATTCCAGCGGACATACGAAAAGCACCAATCCCCACCAAATTGATGTTCACAGCGGTGCCCCATTAGCTCCGTGAACTCTGCCAATTCCACAGCAATTCGACGCCGCCTCCGCCGATACCCATGCTGCTGCTCCTCCATATCCGGCATCGCTACCTGCGCCTTGAAGACAAACGGAAAGGCCTGCAGGGGCCCACCCCTTCCCCTCCTTCCTGCCATCCAAAGCATTCTCTCCACACCCCCGGCCCGGCCTGGCAGAAGAAGTCACTAGTGAATTGGTTTACCATCTCACTTCCAGTGAAGACGTGCATCTCCTCCCCTCGTACAGCAGCGGCTACCCCCTGCCATGCTCTCCCATCGGCTTCCCCTGCACAAACCTCTTCATATGCATTCCTCGTGCAGGTCACCGCTGTTGGGCGCAAAGATTCAAACGCCTTTTCTTTTTCTCTCTCACCTAATGGAGGCGTGCCATGCTTTGCCGCTTGCAGATTCTCCACAAAAGATTGACTTCGTCTAGCCAACGACACCAACTCTTCCAAGACACCATCCGCAGGGAACCCTTCAGCTTTCCTCAAGACATCCTCCATCCGCACGTTGCCATATGCTGGGTGCTGCCTTCGGACGGCATCCTCTAGCAGCCTCACAACTATATCTCTGCGCACTCTTGCCTGCGCAATAACCCGTGCGTCTGTCACTTCACTGGTGCGCAGCACAACCCGCACAGCGTGCGCAATTTCCCTCCCCACCCATGGCAACTTCATGCCTTCCACGGCCTGCCGCTGCAGCTCCTGAAAAATGTCTTCCAACGGCAACGGGAAAAGCGTGATATTGCCTCTCGCTCCAACACGGAATCTCTGGTGCTGCGCTTCTTCCAAGATCACATTGCCATAACGTGTCTCCAATGAAAAACAAACCAAACTCAGCATGCACGGGGATGCTAGGATCGCCTCCAAGTAGCTCACGTTCTCCTCCGCCAGCACTGGTGCGGCAAATCCTGTCCAAAGATTCTTGCTCAAAGCCCTTACCGGCATCTGCTGCGGCCTGCTCTGCAATGCCTTTTGACATGAGAAACAAATGGGAATTTCACATTGCGGACATACATCCGGCCAATCGTCCCCATGTTCGCATTCGCATCGCCGATCTTCTGCGTTGCACAGAATCCGCACCTCCCCCTCTTCAAACCTCAGGGTGCACTGCCATTCTTCCAGTTCGCCTTGCCACACAGCATCCCGCAAATTTGGAAAGCCAGGGCCCAGATTGCCAAATTGCTTCAGATACGTGTCAATACCGAAGAAATCCTCTACCTGCTGCTTGTTCAGCCCCAGAAAAGTCTCCAACACCACATCCCTCCCAGTCCCTGCTGGACCAGCTCGCTTCCACGCCACCTTCTGCCTCGCCTCCCCCGGAAGGTGCGGATGCACACATCCACAGCAGAAACAAATCAAGCCTTGCAATTCTGAATGGCTTATGCTCTCATGAAATACTTTCAATGCACGCCGATCCTGCGCAAGGGAAACCACTGGGGGTCGCTGCTGGCAGACCACACTCACAGCTGAGTTCAGCACAGTATACAACGTAGCTTGGAAAGCCACTCCGCCCAAGGATGCAACGGCATCTTGCAATTCCCTGGTGTAATGGTCCTCCCTTACATGGGCTAAAAGCTCATCTACCTTCTCCCCCCTCCACACGCATCCGTCAAAAGGGCAATGCTGCCTAGGCAGGAGCACCCCTCTGTCCAACTCCTCTTGCGTCCACTGCCCTCCCAAGACTTTGCATGGAAGTGTCGGCTGTTTTTTCAACAGCCTGGCAATAGCTGCTATGCCCTTCTCCCAAGCTCTCCTAGGATGCGGTGATGCCTCCGTCACCCACAGCCTTTCCAACACGTCGAACACGTCCTGCTCCATGGCTCCTTGACCAGGTGATGGCTCCATCCTCAAAGCATACGCCCCAAGGATGCCTCACCAGCCCGGACTTAAGCACGCAGTCATCTAATTGACCTGTTCCTGCTACCGCCCCTTCCTTGCTATGTTGGCCTTTGTCTTTTCAGGTGCCTGCATACCCCAAAATCTGGACCCCTATCCTGGCTGCTGCTATGCTGAGCTGCACGCACTTGCACTTAATCTGCTTCTATGTCCTATCTCTGCTATACATGTTTGCGACGCCGGGATCTTTTCAGTTGCGTCCATGGCCCCAAATCTACACCCCTATCCTGACTGCTGCTACGCTTTACTGCATGCACTTGCGCTTTATCTCTCCTATGCCATGTCTCTGCGTTGAAGGTCTGAGAAGCCGAAATAGCTCTGGCCGCGGTGGCCGGCGGAACACGCCAACGGCGGTTAAATAAGGGGAAGTGATGATGAAGGGGAGTGGTGACGAAGGGAAGTGATGATGAAGGGGAGTGGTGACGAAGGGAAGTGGTGACGAAGGGAAGTGGTGAAGAAGGGAAGTGGTGACGAAGGGAAGTGGTGAAGAAGGGAAGTGGTCAAGAAGGGAAGTGGTGACGAAGGGAAGTGGTGAAGAAGGGAAGTGGTCAAGAAGGGAAGTGGTGACGAAGGGAAGTGGTGAAGAAGGGAAGTGGTGAAGAAGGGAAGTGATGATGAAGGGAAGTGGTGACGAAGGGAAGTGGTGAGGAAGGGAAGTGGTGGAGAAGGGAAGTGGTGACGAAGGGAAGTGGTGAAGAAGGGAAGTGGTGAAGAAGGGGAGTGGTGACGAAGGGGAGTGCAGATCGCATTGGAATGGCTGCATGAATGTTGCATGCCGTGTGTTGTGGGGAGGAAGCCGGAGCACCAAACCTTGTGTTTTTCCGTGTAAAGTGGCTGCAGCCGACGATGAAAGGTACCTCGTCTGTGCGACGGGTGCGGCTGCGGTCGTTTTGTGCGCGAATTGTTCCTCCTATGTGTTTTGCAACGAGTGGTTGTTCCTGTGTGCGTAGTTTTATGCGTTTCTTGACGCTGTGGTGGCAGATCGCATTGGAATGGCTGCATGAATGTTGCATGGGCTATGTTGTGGGGAGGAAGCCGGAGCACGAAACCTTGTATTTTTCCGTGTGAAGTGGCTGCAGGCGACGATGAAAGGTACCTCGTGTGTGCGGCGGTTGCGGTTTGGATCGTTTCGAGTTCAATCGGTTCCTCCTATGTGTTTTGCAACGAGTGGTTGTTCCTGTCTGCGTAGTTCTATGCGTTTCTTGACGCTGTGGTGGCAGATCGCATTGGAATGGCTGCATGAATGTTGCATGGGCTATGTTGTGGGGAGGAAGCCGGAGCACGAAACCTTGTGTTTTTCCGTGTAAAGTGGCTGCAACCGGCGATGAAAGGTACCTCGTTTGTGCGACGGGTGCGGCTGCGGTCGTTTTGTGCGCGAATTGTTCCTCCTATGTGTTTTGCAACGAGTGGTTGTGTCTGTGTGCGTAGTTCTATGCGGTTCTTGAATCTCTGGTTGCAAATTGCATTGGAATGGCTGCATGAATGTTGCATGGGCTATGTTTTGGGGAGGAAGCCGGAGCACGAAACCTTGTGTTTTTCCGTGTAAAGTGGCTGCAGCCGGCGATGAAAGGTACCTCGTCTGTGCGACGGGTGCGGCTGGGGTCGTTTTGTGCGCGAATCGTTCCTCCTATGTGTTTTGCAAGAAATGGTTGTTCCTGTGTACGTAATTCTATGCGTTTCTTGAAGCGCTGGTTGCAGATCGCATTGGAATGGCTGCATGACTGTTGCATGCCGTGTGTTGTGGGGAGGAAGCCGGAGCACGAAACCTTGTGTTTTTCCGTGTAAAGTGGCTGCAGCCGGCGATGAAAGGTACCTCGTGTGTGTGCGGCGGTTGCGGTTTGGATCGTTTCGAATTCAATCGGTTCCTCCTATGTGTTTTGCAACGAGTGGTTGTTCCTGTGTGCGTAATTCTATGCGTTTCTTGACACTGTGGTGGCAGATCGCATTGGAATGGCTGCATGAATGTTGCATGGGCTATGTTGTGGGGAGGAAGCCGGAGCACGAAACCTTGTATTTTTTCGTGTAAAGTGGCTGCAGGCGACGATGAAAAGTACCTCGTGTGTGCGGCGGTTGCGGTTTGGATCGTTTCGAGTTCAATCGGTTCTTCCTCTGTGTTCTGCATCGAGTGGTTGTGTGTGTGTGCGTAGTTCTATGCGTTTCTTGAATCTGTGTGCGCAGATCGCATTGGAATGGCTGCATGACTGTTGCATGGGCTATGTTTTGGGGAGGAAGCCGGAGCACGAAACCTTGTGTTTTTCCGTGTAAAGTGGCTGCAGCCGGCGATGAAAGGTACCTCGTGTGTGCGGCGGTTGCGGTTTGGATCGTTTCGAGTTCAATCGGTTCCTCCTATGTGTTTTGCAACGAGTGGTTGTGTCTGCGTGTGTAGTTCTATGCGGTTCTTGAATCTCTGGTTGCAGATTGCATTGGAATGGCTGCATGAATGTTGCATGGGCTATGTTGTGGGGAGGAAGCCGGAGCACGAAACCTTGCGTTTTTCCGTGTAAAGTGGCTTCAGCCGGCGATGAAAGGTACCTCGTGTGTGCGGCGGTTGCGGTTTGGATCGTTTCGAGTTCAATCGGTTCCTCCTATGTGTTTTGCAACGAGTGGTTGTTCCTGTGTGCGTAGTTCTTTGCGTTTCTTGACGCTGTGGTGGCAGATCGCATTGGAATGGCTGCATGAATGTTGCATGGGCTATGTTGTGGGGAGGAAGCCGGAGCACGAAACCTTGTGTTTTTCCGTGTAAAGTGGCTGCAGCCGGCGATGAAAGGTACCTCGTGTGTGCGGCGGTTGCGGTTTGGATCGTTTCGAATTCAATCGGTTCCTCCTATGTGTTTTGCAACGAGTGGTTGTTCCTGTGTGCGTAATTCTATGCGTTTCTTGACACTGTGGTGGCAGATCGCATTGGAATGGCTGCATGAATGTTGCATGGGCTATGTTGTGGGGAGGAAGCCGGAGCACGAAACCTTGTGTTTTTCCGTGTAAAGTGGCTGCAGCCGGCGATGAAAGGTACCTCGTCTGTGCGGCGGTTGCGGTTTGGATCGTTTCGAGTTCAATCGGTTCCTCCTATGTGTTTTGCAACGAGTGGTTGTGTCTGTGTGTGTAGTTCTATGCGGTTCTTGAATCTCTGGTTGCAGATTGCATTGGAATGGCTGCATGAATGTTGCATGGGCTATGTGTTGGGGAGGAAGCCGGAGCACGAAACCTTGCGTTTTTCCGTGTAAAGTGGCTTCAGCCGGCGATGAAAGGTACCTCGTCTGTGCGGCGGTTGCGGTTTGGATCGTTTCGAGTTCAATCGGTTCCTCCTATGTGTTTTGCAACGAGTGGTTGTTCCTGTGTGCGTAGTTCTATGCGTTGCTTGACGCTGTGGTGGCAGATCGCATTGGAATGGCTGCATGAATGTTGCATGGGCTATGTTGTGGGGAGGAAGCCGGAGCACGAAACCTTGTGTTTTTTCGTGTAAAGTGGCTGCAGCCGGCGATGAAAGGTACCTCGTGTGTGCGGCGGTTGCGGTTTGGATCGTTTCGAGTTCAATCGGTTCCTCCTATGGGTTTTGCAACGAGTGGTTGTTCCTGTCTGCGTAGTTCTATGCGTTTCTTGACGCTGTGGTGGCAGATCGCATTGGAATGGCTGCATGAATGTTGCATGGGCTATGTTGTGGGGAGGAAGCCGGAGCACGAAACCTTGTGTTTTTCCGTGTAAAGTCGCTGCAGCCGGCGATGAAAGGTACCTCGTCTGTGCGGCGGTTGCGGTTTGGATCGTTTCGAGTTCAATCGCTTCCTCCTATGTGTTTTGCAACGAGTGGTTGTGTCTGTCTGCGTAGTTCTATGCGGTTCTTGAATCTGTGGTTGCAGATCGCATTGGAATGGCTGCGTCAAGGTTGCTTGGTGCCGCGGCTGCCCGCGTAATTCTATTGTCTTTTGCAGCTGAAGATCGTAAATCGTATTGGAGTGGCTGCATCCAGGCTGCGACAGTGATTTGTCAGCAGATTCTCTCCATTTTGGCGCTAGTGATTTTCCTTTTAAAAATCCCTTTAAAAAGTGCTTCAAAATCGTCTTTTTTTCGTTTTGGCGTCGAGATCCGGTTTTGGAGCTGCATTTTCCGACCTAGTTGCGCGTAGTTCTATTGTGTTTTGCAACTCAGTCTTTGCAGATCGCAGTGTAATGGCTGCGTCAAGGTTGCTTCTTGCCGCGGCTGCATGCGTAATACTATTGTCTTTTGCAGCTGGACTTCGTAAATCGTATTGGAGTGGCTGCATGAAGGCTGCGACAGTGATTTGTCAGCAGATTTTTTCCATTTTGGCGCTAGTGATTTTCCTTTTAAAAATCCTTTTAAAAAGTGCTTCAAAATCATCTTTTTTTCGCTTTGGCGTCGAGATCCATCCGGTTTTGGAGCTGCAATTTCCGACCTAGTTGCGCGTAGTTCTATTGTGTTTTGCAACTCAGTCTTTGCAGATCGCAGTGTAATGGCTGCGTCAAGGTTGCTTCTTGCCGCGGCTGCATGCGTAATACTATTGTCTTTTGCAGCTGGACTTCGTAAATCGTATTGGAGTGGCTGCATGAAGGCTGCGACAGTGATTTGGCAGCAGATTTTTTCCATTTTGGCGCTAGTGATTTTCCTTTTAAAAATCCTTTTAAAAAGTGCTTCAAAATCGTCTTTTTTTCTGCTTTGGCGTCGAGATCCGGTTTTGAAGCTACAATTTTTCGACGCCGTTGCGTGTAGTTCTATTGTGCTTTGCACCTCAGTGTCCGCAGATCGCATTGGAATGGCTGCGTCAAGGTTGCTTGGTGTCTTTTGCAGCTGCAGATCGTCAAACGCATTGGAGTGGCTGCATCCAGGCTGCGACAGTGATTTGTCAGCAGATTTTCTCCATTTTGGCGCTAGTGATTTTCCTTTTAAAAATCCTTTTAAAAAGTGCTTCAAAA